TAGGCCTGTCCCAATTTGAAGACTCCTTCAAATGCGGTCGACGAATCCGGCCTTCTTTTCGCCTGAATGAAGGATGGGTCCGGTGTATCCTTCAATAGGTAGCATTTCCCAAGATGCCTTGCGGGCCGGCCGGCAGAAAAACTTAAAAATAATGGCGGACAGTGAAGCGGGAGCTGTCGGAGAGGATTGTGCATATAAATGTAAGTATAAACTTGAAAACTGTCAGGTTAAGGACTTTTGGTGATACAAGAACGTTATTTTAGTTTGAAATGTTACAGTAAAAGTGCTTGTATTGCGGTCTCGGCTCGTATGTTCGGCCGCTCGGTGTCGTACTTCTCCCGCTACGTTTCCCCCCTGATTTTAATAGAAGTTTGTATTTTAGGGACAAAAGAGAAAACCAGGGAATTTATTAAGCTTAGGGCGAAGATGGACCACATGATCACTGGAGCAAAGTATTCGGCGGCTGTGGCATGGAGGTACAATAACATCACATATTTTAAAAACTCGTTTGAGTTTATTTTTTTCTGTGAAAACATGAAAGGAATAACCCGTTGTCCTCTTTTCTCTTCCTGTTGTTTTTTCTTGCATGTTTGTTAAGACTATTCTGGAGAAAATGGGCATCCAGGGGAAGGTGACAGCGATGAGCAGCTTCTGGAGCTGATCAGGGAGGACATGAAGCTGCAGAGAGAGGCAGAGCAGCAGAGGGCACAGGAGAGAAGGGAGAACTTTGACAGCTTTTTACTTTGCTAGAAAAAAAATGGTTAATAAAGATTAAACATGTACATATAAAAGAAATATCTAAATAAAATCAGTTCTGCATTAAACTCTTGAATTTTATTTTGGTTTACAAATGAGAATTGTTTACTAGAGGGTATCCGCTGGGTCTTAAAGTCTTAAAAGGTGATAAATCGGTTTTGGTCAAATTAAGACCCTTAGAAAGTATTAAAAACTTTTATCACATATTTGCTCAGGCTCAGCTTGTCAAAAGTATTTTCTCTGAATTAGCTCTCCAACAGTCAAGGAAATGATTAAAGATCTAAATAAAACTTCGAGCTCCATCGTTTAAAGTTCCTTCTCCATTCTACTCAGCGGTTCCACGGTTGCTAGGCGACAGAACGTTCGCCGAGGGAGAGGCGGGAGTTCATGAAAGCTAGGCCTGTCCAAATTCACAGCCGTTTACATCCGGTCTACCCGGCCGACGGAGGACCCAGCCCACGTCGGTGGGGTGGGCTGGGTCCTTCGAAGGATGCAGACCCTGAATTGAGACACAGCCAGTCTTTACATTTAGAATTGACATACAGATGTAAAATTAATGCAGTAAAATATAAAGCATTTTATTTAAATATCCATTCATTATTTTACAAGCACAGAGAGCCACATCAGATGGATGGAAGAGCCGCGGGTTGCCGACCCCTGACTGAAACGCAGCACTAGAGCCCTGCGCGGGCCTGTTTTCTTCATCCAGCTCCTGCCCGCTCCCGCTGAATTTCTGACAATTACCGCCCGCAACCGCAACGTGTGTGTTACACTCCCGCCCGCACCTGCAGCCTGCATGTCTACTCCCGCCCGCAACCGCAAAACTCGGAGAAATTATTACCTCACAATAAAGGAGATGTATTGAGTTTGCGTCCTCTCTGGTCCTGGAGAAAACATGTCATTTTATAGGCTATACCAGGGGTCGGCAACCCGCGGCTCTTCCATCCATCTGATGCGGCTCTCTATTCTTTCTCCTTCAAAATAAACAGTCAAATACAGGAACTATCCGGTCAACACAACACAAGCCCTGCTTTTGACTGTTTTGTTTTCTTGTGAAAATTGTTGGAAAGAGATAACATTTAACTTGATTACCACCAGAGCCAGTGCGCCGTCATCTCCGTGACGATAAACGAGGGAAAAACAAATTGATCGGATCCTGCACGTCTTTTAACACATCGGTCAGGACTGACGCACTTTGTTTTCATTTAGCTGGTTAAAAAAAAGTCAAGCTCGGGTCGGGCCGGAGAATCCTGAAAACCTTTTCGGGCCGGGTCGGGCTGGGGCTCCACCCCCTCGGGCCGGGCCGGACACGGGCTCAGATTTTAGGCCCGTGCAGGGCTCTAAGCCACATTCCGCTTGGACTGCCAGTTCCTGTCAGCTGCCTCTGGAGTCCCACAGGCCAAAATACCTGATAGGACTCTTTCTTGAAGCTTGTCCACCATCGGGTTCGGGGTATGCCGCCACCACAGGCACCGGCGATCCTGCAACCACAGCGCCGGTCAGCCGCCTCAACAATGGAGGCACGAAACAGGGTCCATTTAGACTCAGTGTCCCCCGCCTCCCCCGTAACATTTTGGAAGTTCTGTCGGAGGTGGAAATTGAAGCTCCTTCTGACAGGAGACTCTGCCAGATGTTCCCAGCAGACCCTCGCGATATGTTTGGGCCTGCCTGGTCTGACCGGCATCTTCCCCCACCATCTGAGCCAAGTCTTCACCAGGTAGTGGTCAGTTGACAGCTCCGCCCCTCTCTTCACTCGAGTGTCCAAGACATGCGGCCGCAGGTCAGATGAAACAACAAAGTCGATCATCGCGCTGCGGCCTAAGGTATCCTGGTGCCAAGAGCACATATGGACACCTTTATGTCTGAACATGGTGTTCATTATGGACGATCCATGACTGGCACAGAAGTCCAATAACAAAACACCACTCGAGTTCAGATCACGGGGGCCGTTCCTCCCAACCACACCTCTCCAGCTCTCACTGTCATTGCCCACTTAAGCGTTAAAGTCCCCCAGCAGAACGAGGGAGTCACCGGAAGGAGCGCACTCCAGCACCCCCTCCAAGGTCTCCAAAAAGGGTGGGTAGTCTGAACTGTAGTTTGGTGCATAAGCACAGACCACAGTCAAAACCCGTCCCCCCACACTTAGGCGGAGGGAGGCTACCCTCTCATTCACTGGGGCAGGCACCAAGATAGGGGGGCAACTACTATGTCCACCCCTGCTCAGCGCCTCTCAGTGGGAGCAACTCCAGAGTGGTAGAAAGCCCAACCCCTCTCAATGCTCCACATAATACTTTCAAAAATTAAAATGTTGCAAAACTTACATTTTTGGTGACTGGGTGGCTATGGTTAGGGTAAGGGTTAGTTTTTGTGAGCGGGTTGTAACTCTCTTACATATTTAATTTAACAAATATATACACAATTTAAAAAGTAAAAGGCTCATTTTATATTTATATTGAAACTTATACGTATAAAATATATCGTTATCTCCCGTGTCCTCGTAAGCAAGGCGCCTGGTGCCATGACGTAGAGAAACACCCAGTGACTTGTTCTCAGATAACTCAGAAGTTCTTGCTTTGTTTCAGGTTGTTCCCTTAGGTGGCATGTATGTTGAGCAGCTCCATCAATGGAGACAGAAACTGCTGCTGCTCTCCTGAGTATGCAGATCACCATTCATAAAATCCAGATGTTGAAACTAATCAGAAAAATGAAAGCTACCAAGCTGCCCTCCAGTGGCAGCAGGCAGTATAGATTTGAAATCCCACCCCCTCCATGTACATGACTGCGTAGTAAACTGTTAAAAGAAAGCAGCAGAGATGCTTTGTAAACTTGTTCATTGATAAAAATAACCTAAACAACTTCAAAATAAAGCAAAACCTGCCTTTTTAATCCAACTCATACGGGTCAAATGGAAACAGCTAACTAGATGTGGTCTGCATGCTGTAGATTAGTTTGTTTCTTTATTTGTTTCAAATGTTTTAAAAGAATGAACAAATTCATTCAGTCTCCTGACACAGGAAAGCACCTCTGTTGTTAGTTTTCATGACTTTATGTGGATCTGTGTCTTTTTAATTTTGACATGACTTCAGCTTTTGCTTTTCAAATCAATATACTGATGAACAGCCTCTAACTGTAAACTGACTCTGAATCCGTTTGAGTTCCTCTAGCGAACGTCTGGAGTCCTTTGGACACACACAGACACCTAATGAGTAAGACTGGATAGTTCTATCGCAGTAACCAGTGTGGGCTGAGGCCTTTATGAACATAGCAGCATGGCGCCCTCTCCTGGTGAGACGTCCTGATAACCCAACAGGAAACAGGCTCTGGAACCAGAGTGATGCATTAACAGATTAAATAGAAGTTTTTCATTCAAACATGTTTCAATGCAAGTACATTCAGAGTTATAGAAGAGGAATCTTTTAAATGCAACAGGAATCCAGCGATGTTTGTAACTGTGGTGAGCTGCTCTTATTCAAGGCTACAATCACATGAAGTTTATAGAGAGAGAGCGGTTCGTGTCGCTTCATTTGTCCTCGTCCAAGGCCCTGGAAACCAGCTGGAAACAGTTCCAGTAAGATGAGGAATCAAACAACAGAATGGATTTCCCTCCAGACCAGATCAATGTCCTGGTGCTCCAAGAACATACAGGGAAGATACCGTCAGCTTAGGAGGCAGAAGCAGATGTGCCATGAGCATTCTGACGAGAGATCAGATTTCTTTATTTTAGCATCACTTCATCAGCTTCAGTTCAATCTTTCCTTTGTGATAAGTCTTGTCGTTAGTGTTAGCTTGGGTGGTCCTGGCTCATCCCTTTAGTTATGCTGCGCATCGTGCTGGAGGACACTTAGCTGTTCCTGTTTGGTGTGAGTTCCTGTAGGACAGGTGTGACTGGCTGCTATTTTATAATCTGTTGAATCTAGTGAATGGACTCGACTGCTTGCTCTGAACTAGACTCGTTGCTTTTGTTCAGATGACTTCTGCTGTGGACTGACTCTGCATAAAGGATGAATGAATATGTTGTCCAGTCAGTTTGCACTTTCATAAACATGACCAAAACATCCCAGAGCAAGCGTCCTTTGGAAATTTTTCATATAGAATCGAAAGACTTTGGTGTTTCCTTGTTCACCGAATAAGTTCTGGATGACCGAGAGTGGACGTTGACGTGGAACCAGTAGCTGCTACGCCTCCATGTGTGTGTGTAAGGTCGAGTTCCTCCACACTACAACTTTCTGCTCTTCTGTTCTCAGCTGTGTTGGGGTGGATGAAGATGACGCTCCAGATATTGACATTTACCACTGCCCAAACTGCGAGAAAGCCCACGGCAAATCCACCTGTGAGTATCGTAGTGACTGCACCTAAATCAAACGCAGGGCGGCTTTCTGCCAGCTGATAGAAAACGATTACAGTGATTGTTTCTCACCTTTTACAGTAAAAAAGAAAAAGAACTGGAGTAAACATGACACAGGGCAAAGCACAGACATCAAAGCTGTTCAGAATGGCAGTCAAGTCTTCATCAAGGAGCTTCGCAGCCGAACCTTTCCCAGGTAACCACACCCTCCCCAGGACTCAACAATATCTAAACAGTTGTGACATGGTGAGGAACCCAAATGACATCAGTCATTCAGACTAGAGGGCTGCATCGGGATTGGGTCCCGCCGGGTCCCGCGGGACCCAACACAAATCTTGCGGGGGCGGGCGGTGTGAACTTTGCTGCGGGCGGGAACGGTCGGCTAAAAGAAACAGTTGCGGGATCGGGATGAGTATGATGGAGTCGGCAACTGATGTTGAAAAGAAGCTGAAACAAGGTCTTTATGACACAAAAACCAAAGCAAGGCAAGTCAGACATTTGGAGGAGTTTCTCCGATTGTGTTAATATTTCTCGTTCAGGTCTCGTAGAATAGCGACCCCGATCACGGCCTGATTAGAGAGGAGAAGAGAATATGAAACGGCCTTGACTTCATTAACCCTTTAAGCACCACACAGTAGCTCCTTTATGTTTTGTTGTAAGAATTCACAATGATCACAAGAACGGTGAGCAAAGATCCCAGAACTGCACGGGGGACCTAGTGAACGACCTGCAGAGAGCTGGGACCAAAGTTACAAATGCTACCATCACTGCGCCACCAGGGACTCAAGTCCTGCAGTCCATACGTGTCCTCCTGCTGAACTCATTCACCGCCATTGACGACTAAAGTCGCTATTTGCATTTTTTTACTGTGTGAGCATCGGAACGAGCCCCCTCACTGAGAACAAACATCTCAGCTCTGAAGCCGATCTTTATCCGCATACGTCACGCGTCACGTGATCAGGAAGCAGAACATCCACGTGTTAGGAGATCGTTTTGGGCCGTTGCTGTAAAAAAAAGTGAGGCGCGAACCAGAAAAGCGTCTGCCGATCACAATTCAACAACGGATTATGAAAGAACGGATAAGGCTTGAAACGTGCGGATTCTTCCTGATGTGAGAGGTGAGTCTCTGCTTTGTTTTGGTTGTTTTGGCGTCGACGTCGTCCTAGCGCGCAACACTCTGTGACTCTTAATAAAACAGTAAAAACAGTGAGAAACGCTGGCAGCGAAGGCCGTTAGCGATCAGGAAACGGCCGGCAGTGAATGAGTTAAAGAGCAAGTCACCCTCAAATCAACTCTTTTTTCTGATAAACTATATAAATGTGTGTCTGGGAGCTTTCTTCAGCTGAATGAAGATCAGACTGAGATCCTCATCTGAGCCCCAGACAAGCTGGTTCCCAAAGTCAGAGACTCTCTTGGTCAGCTTGCTTCTCACACCAAACCCTCTGTCAGGAATCTTGGCGTGACCTTTGACCCAGCTCTCACCCTGGATTCTCATGTCAGTTCTCCTGTTCGCTCTTCCTTCTTCCATCTCAGGAACGTTGCTAAGCTGAGTCCCATTCTGTCCCACTCTGAACTTGAGACAGTTCTCCACACCTTCATCTCCTCACGCTTAGACTACTGTAACTCTCTTTTCACATGTCTGAGCAGAACCTCCCTGAACCGTCTACAGGTGGTTCAGAGTGCCTGTGCTCGGCTTCTGACCAAGTCCTCCAAACACACCCACATCACCCCGCTTCTCCTCCAGCTTCACTGGCTGCCAGTCACCTTCAGGGTTCATTTCAAGATCCTGGTTCTGGTCTATAGGGCCTTACATGGGCAAACACCATCTTACATTGGTGATCTTCTCAGTCCCTACACCCCCAGCAGGTCCCTGAGGTCCAGTGATCAAAGCCTACTGGATGTGCAGCACCAGGCTAAAGGTCAAAGGTGACAGATCATCTGCTGCTGTGGCCCCCAGACTCTGGACCTCTCTCTCCCTGAGCCTGAGATCAGTGGACTCAGTGGTCTCCTTTAAAAAGCAGCTGAAGACTCACTTGTTCAAGCTGGATTTTGTATGACCTTCTTCACCTCTCTCTCTTTATTCTGCTCTCCCCACCTATTCCACCTTCCTCAGGATCCACTGGTTTCCCTCTTTCCTGTTCACTCTCTCTCTTTCTTAACTTTTTAATCACAATTGTCTATTTTTGCTCATTTTAAATATATTTTTAAACATTTTCTAAATGCTTTTTTATATTTTTACATTTTTTGTTTTTGTGAAGCGCCTCGTGATTTTTATCTTGAGAGGCGCTATAGAAATGATATTTTCTTCTTCTTCTAATCGTGCTGCAGACATGTGTAGTCAATAGTTTTGCACTTTAAGCCGGGCGTACACTGTGCGACTTTTTCACTTTTTTGAGCCGATTTTCCAGTCGTGCGAGAAGCCACGACCATGGACGTAATTTTGGGGGGGGACAGGGGGGACATGTCCCCCCCACTTTTTCCAAAGTCAGGTTTTGACCCCTGCACACTTTTTACCATCTAAAAACAACATTACGCTATTTTAAATGGACACTGGTTGAGCTCTAGGACCAAGTGGAAAACAACAGTTTTTGTTGAAGCCTGTTTCCCTTTAGAACATACTGTAAAGATACCCCCCCCCCCCCCCCCCCCCGTGTCCCCCCCACTTCTAAAGTGAAAATTACGTCCATGTCCACGACATCGGGGAGAGTTTTGCGCCGAGCGGTCGTGTAGTGTACAGGGGGTTACGAGAGGCGATTAACACCACGTGACCAGCTGCCGATCAGCAGTCGTGAGCTCGCACGGACTTCTGGTGTGTTTAATATTTCGCTCGTCCCTCGTGAGGGTATCGCACTGTTGAAGCGGCGCTGCGAGCAGCTGCGACCCAAAAAGTATCAGAACCGCTCACGGCGCATGCGGAATCCTGCATCGCCGCTCGCTATTTCCCTAATAACACACGCTGTTTGTTTTAATTTCTACACGTTTTTTTACTCACAAAGATTGTCAAAAAAGCGTGTTTGTCGTGTTCGTGTCAAATTAAACTGATCACAACACACAGATTTACTTTCGTTTTCCTCATCCAACCCCCATACATCCCTGTGTGTCCTCCTGCAGCACTCCCGAAGGACAACAGGCAAAACAAGACAAAAAAGTCTGACGTGTTGTGTAAAAACTGCTATTTTTAGCATATTTTTAGGGCCGACGTGTTGCTACCAGACGTACAGTGTGAGCAGTCAGGTCGCCTCCGAGAACTGGGTCGTGCAGTCTGAGCGCATGACTCGTGAGATCTGCTCTGCGGGGAAGTCGTACAGTTTGAGCTGAAGCTGAACGCTGCGAGTGAAAAAGTCGCACAGTGTACGCCCGGCTTTAGTTCATTCTAGTTAAAATTTTACTTTTCTGCCTAAAACTGTCGGTGTTGTGTCGTTTTCAGGTAAAAACTGCACTGCATTTGAATTTAAATCTGCCATCGCTGTTGGCTAAGAGGTACCCTCGAACGTTAGCTGGTACCATATGATGTCACAATGTCGTTGTGGACCTGTGTGTGTATTTGTTAGTGGCTCCGCCCTCTCGGTCTGCTAGGCAACAGCATTTTTTGCATTTTTCAAACAGGAAGTGGGAGTTGAGTAAGAATCTTGTAGGGGGTGACTTGCTCCTTAAGCCGGTACGTGTGCAGGCTCGTCTGAAGGTTGCTACAGGGCATTTGGATGATCCAGAAGAGGATTGGGAGAATGTCATGTGGTCAGATGAAACCAAAACAGAACTTTATGGTAAAAACTCTACTTGTCATGTTTCGAGGAGAAAGGAGGAGTTCCATCCTCGAGTGCCTTGCAGCCATTAAGTTGTGGCTTGCTTCTAATTTCCTCTGGCTGAATAAGGACAAGCCCAAGGCCAGATATGACAGAAACACATCAGCCTCACCCTCCCCTCCCTTAATTCCAGCTCCTGTGTGACCAGTCTCTGGGCCAGACTAGATGCAGACCTGTTCAAAACCCAGAAGGTCAATACTACTGTGAGGTCCGGTCTTTTTTTCTTTCAACTTTGCCACCTAACACGCTCAAAATCCATCTTGAGACCAGACTTGGAATCAGTTATCCGTGCGTTTATCACCTCTACACTTGACCATGCAAACTCTGTTATCATAGGCGTTTGTGCTAAACCCCCCCCCCCCCCCCCCCTCCATTGTCGTTTACAGACAGTACAAAATGTGGCAGCCGGTTTCTTCAGCGGAACAGATGGACGATGCCACATCTCTTGTCCTGGCATTAACCTGACTCCCTGTAGCTTACCAAGTGTAGTTCAACGTTGTCAGCAACCCAAGCTCCCCTCTACCTGTCTGAACCGCTCACCTGCTATCTCTCCATCCTATCACTGTGTTCTGCAGATCATCGCCTGCTCTGCATTCCCAAAATGAAATACGTGGAGAGCGGGCCTTTGCATACACCGCTCCTAAACTCTGGAATGCACTCCCTCTCTCTGTGGATCCGTCTCCTTCACTTGCACTTCAGTTCAAACCTTAAGTCGCCCCATCTTCAGAGTGGCTTGAATTATTTTTCAGCAGTGGAGTGTGTCCCTGCTTCTCTTCTTTTTACTCTACTGCTTCATTCTCTTCTTGCTCTAATTGTTTTCCTTCTTTTCCAAAGACTAAATTTGATGTCTTTGTTTGAACCAGCTGCATTCTTGATTTGATGCTTTTATTTTGAACAGTCTGTTTTATATTCTTTGATTGCGAGGGGCTCTTTTAGTATTAGTTTTACTGTGTTTGTTAAACACTTTGGTCAGCTGACATGGTGGAAACATCATGCTTCGGGGCTGTTTTTCTGCAAAGGGACCAGGACGACTGGTCCGTGTACATGAGAGAGTGAACGGGGCCATGTATCTTCAGACTTGGAATGAAAACCTTCCATCAGCAAGGGCCTTGGAGATGAAACATAGCTGGGTCTTGAGCATGACGATGGTCCCAAACACACCATCCAGGTAAAGAAGAAGTGGCTTCATAAGAAGCATTCAAGGTCCAGGTGTGGCCTAGCCAGTCTCCAGATCTCAACCCCATAGAAATCTCTGGAGGGAGTTGAAAGACCGTGTTGCCCAGCAACAGCCCCAAAACATCCCTGCTCTAGAGGAGATCTGCATGGAGGAATGGGCCAAAATACCAGCAACAACCTTGTGAAGACTTACAGAAAATGTTTGACCTCTGTCATTGCCAACAGAGGGTTTATAATAAAGTACTGAAATGGATTTTTGCTATTGACCAAATGCTTGTTTTCCACCATAATTAGCAAATAAATTATTTACACATCCGACGGTGTGATTTTCTGGATTATTTTTCTCATTTTGTCTCATAGGTGAGGTACACCTGAGATGAAAATTACAGGCCTCTCATCTTTTTAAGTGGGAGAACTTAGTTGGTGGCTGACTAAATACTTCTTTACCCTGCTGTGACTCACCAGCACCAGAATGATAAGAATGGCCTGTACTTACATATTGCCTTCTAAAGTCCCCCCCCCCCCCCCCCCCCCAAGGCGCTTTACAACACAGCAGTCATTCTTCTGTTGGAGGTGACGGTTGGACATTGTAGCCACAGCTACACTGGCACCACTGGTCCCTCCAGCCACCACCAGCAGGCCAGGTGGGTGAGTGGGGAGCAAACCTGAAACCCTTCAGTCACAGGGCGAGTGAGTACTTGACTTGTCTGCCAGTTTTGCCCCAGGAACTAAGCTCACCCTTCCATATCAGACCCAGTTTGGTTGGAGGTGGATGACAAGTGTGCTTTAACCCACCGGTCCTGTGGAGCTCTTTCAGGTGATCTCCGATGTGTGCAGAACTCAAAAATAATGAAAGTGATCCTAACGTGAAAGGGGTGTTGAATCTTTTCTGACAAGAGCGAGAACCTCCACTCGGGGGTGCTGTTTGCTAATAGTTGTGGATGTTTCTTCAGTGTATTGTAGAAGTCAAAAGGAGATGCCAGCCATGGACGTAATTTTCACTTTAGAAGTGGGGGGGACACGGGGGTGGGGGGGTGTATCTTTACAGTATGCTCTAATGGGAGACAGGCTTCAACACAAACGGTTGTTTTCCGCTTGGTCCTAGAGCTCAACCAGTGTCAATTTAAAATAGCGTAATATTGTTTTTGGATGGTAAAAAGTGCAGGGGTCAAAACTTGACTTTGGAAAAAGTGGGGGGGACATGTCCCCCCTGTCCCCCCCCCCCCCCCCCAAAATTACGTCCATGATGCCAGCTGACCTGTTAAACGGGTTTGTGTGCTTTTAGTGCTGATGACATTGTGGTGAAACTGAGCGGCAGTCAGCTGAACATGGAATACCTGGAGGAGAATGGCTTCAATGAACCGATCCTGGTCCAGAAGAAGGACGGTCTGGGCGTGTCCATGCCTGCTCCGACCTTCTACATCAGCGATGTGGAGAACTATGTTGGTAGGGCTTCACTTCTCATTCAAATAAGACAGATCCTACAGGTCAGTTGGGGACAATAAAATGACTCTAGGTCTAATAAAACAGAACAGTAAGCAATCATGGTAATCATTTAATCACTAGATTGTATGAAAATGGTACTAACACAATAAATCAATGTATAATTTGGTTTGTTTGGTTTATTTCCAGCCAATATCATAACATCAACCTTCATAATCTTAAGCAAATATCAAAATAACAATTATGACTGAAAAGGGTTTTGGCTGAAGTGAAGCACTTGTCTAGAGCCAAACTTTAATACTAAATACAACTTAGAGCACCAAGATACAACAATTAGCAATTAGGACAAAATTTGTATCGACTGTTTAAAAGTAAACTTATGGTAAACAAAGATACATTTAATCAACATGTGATTCTACTCACTCAGGAGAGTCTGTCTGTAATTTACTGCCAATGACGTTATTTTTAAACTTTTTTTAAATACGTATAGCGATGTAGAGTTTTTTAAGGTGTTGTCTAGACTATTCCATATGTTTACGCCTTTTACTGACATGCATCTCCCTTTCATGTTGGTTCTAAATGAATTTTTTTGGCAAACATGGGTTCCTTTTAAACTGTAGCCAGTGTCTCTGAGTTTAAACCTGATCTGAATACATTCAGGGAGCTCGTGGTTATGGACCTTATACATAGTTATAGCTGTACAGAGATCAGTTAAATCATGTCGTTTTAATATTTTAGATTTGATGAACAAGGGATTTGTTGTTGTTGTTTCTTTTAAACTTCAAGAAATCAAATGAAACTAATTTATTTAAAAAGCTCAATTAAAGTCTAAACATTCACAGCTGGGATGGAGCTCAGTTATCTCACCTGAGTGAGTTAATGGAGTACCTTCTGGTACCTGTAGAGCTCACCTGGATCTGCTGAACCAAAACCCAAGTCCTCTTAATGAATCTTGACTCATGTCATTAACTGTTGCT